GTCGGTCCACATCCGCCCCGATCGTCTCCATCTGTACTCGACCCCATCGAATGTTCACCCTCATGCTCCGAGCCCTCAAAGTCCTCACCACGTAGCCCTGCACATTGGTCTTGACCACTTCCGAGCTCCCGGTCCTCCTGCTCTCCGACCCCGTCCTGAACGTCCATGTCCTCCCCTGCACTCTCCAACTGAGTGACCGCTCCAAAGGGTATGGTCGTCGCCATGCTCGACGGCTGCTGTTGCTGCTGGCCGGCTCCCACACCCAAGGTTTCCTCCCTTGCCGGGCCCTCATCAGGAGCCATGCGCATCCCCGGGCTTCCTTCCATTCTCGGCGGCGCCGCTGCACAGCACGCTTCCAGGGTGTCTGGGCCATGGGACTGAGCGACCAAGTCGTGGGTGACAATCAGCCTGCTCCCATTTGGCATAGATCTCCTCAAACTGGGCGAACTCCAGCATCTCCAGCATCCTGGGCACCGTCTGGCAGACAGCCTTGTGGGTGTCAGCCAGGCTTCCCGCCGGCTCGCCACCGGTTCAGTCGCCACCTCTACAGGGACCGTCTCCATCCTCGCCCTGATGGTGATCGCCAGGCTGGTGCCATCCTCCGGGACCGACATGGCATACGTATGAGTGATCCTCGGCTTGTCCGCGCTTCCCGAGCTGGCCTCGACCTCAACGACACAATGTCGTCCTCGAGGTCCATGCTCGGTTCTTCGCAGCTCATTCTGAAGCAGGGCACGTTCCCAGGCCTGGTACTCCGCAGCCTGGTGTTGCGCCAATGCTTCTTCCCGGAGCATACACTGTTGGACCTCGGCCTCATTCTCCGGCTGAACAGGTGGTCGCCTCGGCGAAGATCTTGGTCCGGCCCGTGGTGGCGCGGCAGCATGCGTTTCCGAAGTGTCATTGTCGATTTCCAACGGTCCACCAATGAGCCCCGGCTCAGGAATGACCCTCAGGTTGTAGAGGATCCCCGGCATGTAGTACTCAAGCTCGTTCGCCCAGCTGGCCAGCCACTTGTCATCTCCCCTTCCACCGGGTCCTCCATGGCTGTCAACAGGGCTCTCAGCATCTCCCTGGCTTGCTCTGGATGGCTCCACGGCTCACACCTCGGCAGCGCGGAGCGGATGCGGCGTATGTTAGCCGCTCTCGTGGCCTTGTCCTGCTGGGTCAGCTCTTTTTGCATTCTGGCCATATTGCGAGCCCACCTGTCTTCGTTCGTTCCCTTGCCCCCAGTCATCAGGTACTTCTGCATCAGGGCCGCTTCGTCGGCCGGCTCTTCCTCCTCCTCCTCGTCAATGGACACCTCCACCGTGTCCCCTTCGTCAAGGCGGCCTTGAACCGTGCCCATGTGAAGGAAGTTGCTCGCCTCGGCCATGAGGAAGCGGAGGACGGAGGATATCCACCAAACCCACCGTCATCATCAGTCTGTTGTGCTCGCTCATGACCCTTACGTAGCCAACCGTAGTGTTCCTGGCCTCGGCAGGGAGGAAAGCGTGACCGTCACCAATCACACTTCTTTCGTTCGGCCACGACCTCCTGTCAATGCCCAGAAGATATCTCCACAGATCCGCTGCATCTTCCCGGGTGAAGGGCTCCCGCAGTCTGCGTTGCACTGCGGCAGGTACAGTTTGAGAACTGGTCGCATTGGTGGGCACTCGGTCAGTTGAGCTCCCTGCTCCCGTGTCACTCCTCATGTTTCTCACTTCCCTGCTGCGATACGGATATGCCTTCGGGGTTGGTTCAAGTCTGCAGGACGTGGTAGGGCGTGTCCGACTGGCAAGCTCAACCGTGCCATTTCCCTCCCAGTCAACCCCTCGGCTTGTGTGGGCATCCCTGGGATCGCCCAGGTATCTGACACTTTGTGTCAGCCGGCACTGCTGCTCCCGGTCTCTTTCACGGTGACGTCGAGGGCTGCGGCGCTTTCTGGATCGCCTCCGCCTCGCGCTGTTGCGTTCTCGCTCCATGAAGTGGGTCACCTCATGATCCTCCAGGGGGCCTCGCCCAAGGCTGGCATGGTAGGCGTTCCCGGGCGGTTCTGCGTTGCGACGGTCTCGCGGTGTCCTGCCGTGCCGGACACATGTCCTCAAGGTTGCCATGGGCCCTTGCAGCCATCTCTCATAGGCATCATTGTTGCGGAGCCCAGCAATCTCCGTCACCATGCCGAGGAGGATCATTCCATCCGTTTCACCATCCAGGTACTCGTGGAACTGTTCCATGAGTTGGTGCCACTCTCTGTCCCCCGGCCTGATGTACTGCATAAGGGAGACAGCCTCGGAACCCTCATCATCTTCAGGAGGACCATCACCCGCCACCTCATCCGTGTCGTGACCCCCGACCAAGTCATCCCTGCCCATTCTGAGCAATTCAGCTTGGGTATTCCAGGTCCCATCTGGCCAGACGTGATGGGCGTGAAATATCCCACAGGGCTTCCGGAGGGTCCAGCTGGAACCCCGGTGGGACACCTCGCATGATGTAGTCCCTGCTCCCTGCTCGCAACCTTTTCCGCCTTTGCTTTTCAGCCCAAAGTCCTGACAGCTGTGTGGCTACCTCATCCACCCAGACTCCACTATCAGCACAGGTCCCAGCAGCAGCGGAGCATGCGGCGCTTTCCGGCTCGGTCCAGATGTCCCTCATCACTTCCTCAGCGAAGTCAAGGACCTCCAGCCCATAGCGGCCGCTGATTTCAGCCATCAGTCTCCTCCAAACTTTGTTCTTTGTCTTCCCGTCTGGGAGGCGGTGAAAGTCTGTCTTGATCTTGCCCAACCAGGACACAGTGCGTCGTCTTCTGGTGTCGTGGCCCGCCTCCGGCACCTCAATGGCGTGCTGCATCAGTCCGATGTGGTCTGGCTCCGGCTGCCGTGTCTGGCCCCTTCCTCTCCTTTGCGGCGATCTGGAGCGACTCAGCTCCCTTCTTTCGGCATCCTCCCGAGCGTACCACTCTGGTGGCACCAACGTGACCCGAAACCCTAGGTCACGAAGTCTGGTTTCGGCGGCCCAATTCTCCATCGCCGAGGGGCATCGTTGCCAGTGCCATCTAACCCTGACTCGTTGCACTGCTTCTGCTGTTTCACTGCGTACTTCTTCTTCTTCCGGCAACCCCATACGTTGAAGAGTGGGGTCTTGAAGGGCATCTGCATGGTCCTGGTTCTCGTAGAGGGCTCTGTAGATCATGTTGAGGAAGGGCTCCGCGGCGAGCTCGAAGGTCGGGTCCTGGTACTGGGCCACCGCGCTCTGGATGGCTGTGATGAGCCCGTCCATGTGGGTCCCTCTGTCCTGCAGGAGGCGGAGGTCATCAAGGATTCTGGTAAACCCTGGTGGGACTCGGTCTTCCTCGTAGGCTTCCTCGAACCCTCGGGCCAGTTGAACCCCTCGGACAACCAGCACCCCCGTAGTCGCTGTACCAGGCTGGCCCCGTCCGTCTCCATCTCATCCACGTTCATGCCAATGTCGGGGAGCCGGGTCGTGTAGCCGGTGGTGTACAGGGGGTCGTGCTCCCGCCGATCTCGCAGAGGTAGCACAGGTCGCTCGGTCTTCTCATCGGGGTGAATCGTGTAGTCGTTGGTCGACACGGGGTCGTGCTCCCGACGATCTTGGTGTGGTACCGCCCGAGCCTGGTTCTTCTCTGTGGGGTGGACGGCGATACGCGGGCGACTCTTGCGATTCTGCAACACCTGAATGAATTCAGAACTTGCACAGCACGGAGAGCAGGTCCCAAAGGGAGGTTCGTTCACCTGCAGCGTCTCCGGCTGACAAAAGGATGCCTCCGTGAGGTTCATCAAAGAGAAGTCGACGGCTTCTCGCCCTGTGCCAACTTCAGTGGGCGTCCCTTCAGGGATGCACCCGAAAGAGCAGCCAATGGCGCTCAAGATATGGATCATATGGAAGGGGGGCATGGTGCGATCGTGCACGAAGGCACACTGCAAAACGACTAAAGCCGAATGCTGAGCCATCAGGCAAGCAACCTTCACATGACAGCACACTTGCCTCAGTCACCACGCAGTGGCCACACATCACTCACACGACAGCATTGCGAACTCAGTCACTATACTGTAGCTATACACATGTGACCCATGCACCCCCATGTTCCGTCTATACAGTCGAATTGTCCTCTCACTCTGTCTTTCTGGTTTTGTTAGAGGTCTCGAACGGAAAGTTGTCGACCCGAACTCCAGGGGAGGTCCATGTGTGCTACCCATGCATCCTCGAGGTGTTTCCACTTCCTTCGATCATGTGCTTGGATTCTCCACGGCCCTTGTGCGACCTCGTCCATGGACTTTTCCAACAAGGACAACCTGGGGTAATGCCTGCAATGTCGAAGACCGCCCGTGCGAGTTTGCTTGATGTCCCACCACGTTCCTGTGCGAAAGTCTTCGTACACCGAGCTTATGACCGGACTAGCCGCGAGCATCCCTCGGACCCTGTGGCCGGCGTAGGACCAGTAACGCCTTTCTTCTTCTTTTTTTTCGCCGATGGCGGTTCAAGGCAAGACGCCCACTGCTCGTGCACATGCATACTCAGCAACTTTGCTTGCCTTGCGGCACTTGGATTGTACCAGGGCCGACAAGTTCTGGCACGTGCCTCCCTGGCTCGTTATAATCTCCTTGACTTGGCGGAGTACTTGTCTCACGTCGTCTTCTGCCAGCTCGTCCAGAGACTGTCGTGCTGCGTCATCGAGTCGTCTCTGTGCGAGATGCTCGATTTCCAATCGAGGGCGAGCCTGTCACAAAACAATAAAACAAGCAAACTGTGAACACGGCACGGGTAGAGAAACGACACACCACGGTCACAATCGGCAGCTTTTGCCGCTTGAAGCCGTGCCATCGCTCCAGGCTGCTGCGGCGTTTCACCTCGGGCGCTTCTGGAATTTCTGCCTGCCCGCCACCTTGGAACGATTGGCCGATATTGGGGGGTTCTTGACTTTACGGAAACTCTCATTCTCTGAAGCACTGCCCCCATGGAGAGCTTCCTTTCCGCAACCTGCTGCCTGGCAAAACTCATGAGTTTTTTAGGGTTTAGGGTTTAGGGTTTAGGGTTTAGGGTTTAGGGTTTAGGGCTTCGTGTTCGGAACCGAAAAGAAAGCTGAAACAATGGACGTCGTCGACACGAGACCTCGAGCTGATTCCTCAATCTTGGCAGCAGAAGGGTGGAAATGCTAGAGCGAGCAAACCGTCGCATCACTCACACCCGCCAAAACCGAAGACAGACACAACCGAAGCCCAAACACCGCAAACGGTCGTACCCAGCAACCCCCGAAGGCTTAAACTTAGATCCTACCAGTAAAGCTTCAAAAACCCTAAACCCCACACCCTAAACCCTAAACTATTTGGCCCTAAACCCTTCTGCAGCTGGAGTGGCTCCGGACCGACCACAACCAGGCCAACGTCGTACTGACCTCAAGGCCCCGGGAGTTATGTAACGAAGTCGAGTCCCTTGATTGCTGTGGAGCGTAGTTATTGCTTCGAGTTTGAGGGGTGTTGTCGGTTTCTTGATCTTCGTTGAGAAGCCTGACTGAACCCCATGCTTGACTATGAGCACGCGCGGAACATCATTGCTCCCTCAACTCTCCGTTCAACTCATATCTCCGTAGAAGACTCAGCAAGCTCCACCTCCCAAGCCTTAAACCTCCCTCACTCGAAATACTTCGACACCGCAAGACGCTGGGAATGTAGTGCACTGACGAAGCTCGACCCGCAAGCTCATGTGATCACGGTTTTGAGTAGAGAGTTCGGGGCTTAGGGTCTCCGATAGCTGAGAGCCGAGATAGGCCTGAGGTTCACCCTAAACCCTAAACCCTAAACCCGAAACCCTAAACCCTAAACCCTAAACCCTAAACTTCACGGTTTAGGACTCTTCGATCCAAACGCGCACCGGAAGTCTCTGCTACGCCAGGGCCGCGGCGGCAGAAGGTGATGACTTCCTCGAACTTCGGGGCCTCACTGGAGCTTTGCAGGCTCTTGGGCTTCGGATTTTGGGGTTTAGGGTTTAGGTGGGTCTTATGTCAGGTAGGGTTTAGGGTTTAGGGTTTAGGGTTGTTTTGTTGTGAGGGTTCTAGGGTTTAGGGGTTTAGGGTTCAGGGTTTAGGATTTACTGTTTAGGGTTTATTGTGGTCTTTTTTTCTTTTGGAGAGGGGCTTTTGGGGTAGGTGGAGCTCCCCAGGCTCGGGACGGCGGGCCTCAAGCGGCCTGACTTTAGCTGATGGGTAGTTCTCTGAATTAGGGTCCCCTTTTGGGTCCCCAATATAATACGGCACCCTTATAAAAAGGACCCTAAAAGGGTCCCTAATTTAGAAAACTGCCCTGATGGCATACGCAGCACACTCAGAGCACGAAACTGCGACCTGGCTCTGATCAGCGTCCCTACGTACCCCAAAATGGATGGGACGTTTTGGTCCGTGGGCCATCTGCCCATCTTACAGAGACCTTGACATGCAGGGCAATCCAAGTCTGAGCCGAAAGCATCACTGCATCAGTATACAGAGGATTGTCACAATTATGGCGGCTGCCCCTTAATGATGATGCTAGTCTTCCTGTTTCGCATCTCATGGATATTCCTGCTCTTTCTGATTTGTGCAACTGTCGTACAGTACTGGTATGTGATTCGTGTTCTCCCGATGCCTGTCATCGCACGCTTCTCGTTACGACGATGATTGTCATTTCAGTCATGGCCGGCATTCCAAAAACCAACAAGACTGACTAGCACTGTGGTTGCAGCACGGTCGTGGTGGTGGCGGCCGCGTGGCAGCAGCAGCGCTCGACTAATGGTCATGGCGACAACTAGATTGATGGTAGCAAGTGATAATGATGAAACCCTAAAGCCCTAAACCCGAAACCCCTAAACCCTGAACCCTAAACCCGAAACCCCCCTGAAGCCTAAACCGTAAACCCCTGGAACTTTCTAGTGATTGTAGGACTTTAGGAGGGAACCTACAAGGGTCCCTGTTAAGGGTCCCTCCTAAAGCCCTTAGATTGTAGCCCTAAACCCTAAACCCTAAACCCTAGTGATTGCAGTGGGCCCGCGGCCGAGATGGCCACGTCCACGTTGACCATCGGCGAAGAGTCGAAGGGCTCAGCCTCCCAAGGCGCGGGCCGTTTAATGTAGGGGCCTAAAACGTTACAAATACTTTTTTTTTTTTTTTGGGGG